CGTTCATAAGTGTACGTGTATTGTGTTTCCTACATGAATAAATGATTTTTGACTTTTGACTTTGAGTTAGGCTAGATCGTGATGTTCCATGATGTCTTTACGTAAAAAAAAGTAAACCAGACACAAAATTAGCATCGCCATCGCCCCTCGTAATATTTTTGTCTAATTTTCTTTTTCGATAGCCAGATACCACAGCTAGTAAAAGCATACGTAACATCGAGTTATGTTATTAACATGATAAATAGTTTTTAAATATTAGATTATTTGTTTAACAGATACTGATATTCGACCCGACACATTATCCTGACCCGAACGGCGGTAGAGTGATCCAGCGAACAGTTCAACCCGATCAAGAGGTGTTTATTAAAATTGTATCCACCAAACAGATAGCTACGAAGGAAGTTCGTAAATATCCGGAAAGAACGGTAAGTAACTTAGTACCGACAAAGTTAATTAATATAATAGACCAAATGTATAAAATAATTATATAAAAAATTCTGGCTATAGTAAACGCCACTGATAAAATATCTTTTTTTTTATATATTATGCCAGTTTCAAGTAAAAGGTTGGGAAACTACACGTGACAAAAAATAAACAAAGACATCAAAAGGAAATAAAGGGATATTGTTAGTTAAAAACAAAATATGTACATAAACATAATCTTAATATTATTATAGATTATGAAAGAAGATAATACATTATAATACAATAAAGGATAAAGCAAAAGGCATAAGACTTCCTTAACCTCTAGACGGGGCAGAGGGCGTCCACAGTGAGTCTTGAGCACTGTATTTCACCTCGCTCCAAGTCTTTCCGGCTCTCTTTGCCTCATCTGCAACTACGACGCCAGTTTTGCTTGGGACGGCCACGCTTCCGCTTTCCTTGAGGGCTCGAGTCATGCGCCTGCTTGATTGGAATCTCTTCGGAGTGTTTGGCCTATCTAATTCCACTTGCGTCGCTTGATCTACTGGTGTTTCTCGGCAGCGGCATACTATGAAATCTTTGAAGGCATTTCACAGCGACATCTCTTGGCGGTTTGATACAGCTTGTGACAACCAACGTCAAAATGAGTAATTGCCATGCGAGTTACAGTTTTTATAACAATTATTGTTCTATTTCCTCTGTACTTGATGCTGAATTAACATTGACATAAAATTTTTTTTTTTTTTGAAAAATCTTCCCTTTACACACAAAAATATAATTTGACGCACACAGATATTTCACAGAAAAAGAAATAGTTATATTTCTTTTCTTTTAGTGTCAAAGTGTAAGATTGAGAGTTGGTTAGTCTGTGGAAAAAGACGCGGGGATTTCCTTGTCATTTATCACTTGAATTTTTACAATGCACAAGAGTTTGCATTTTATTAAAATTTTATTTATATTTAAAGTTTTAAAGCACTTTTATAAAATAACAAACTCTAACTTTTGTTTTATCATGAATGAAACTCCAATGTGTTGCTGAAATAATCTATCAACAACGCAGGTATATTAAAATATATCAAGCCAGAGCCAAAGATAGGTAGGTATGTGGGAATAATAGGCACATTTCTTTTGTTTATGGTCAATAGTCCAAGCTTAAGGAGATGATTTTCGTTTCACGAAACGCGCCCTTGGAATATCGTTTTACTTTCTTATCCGTCTGACTTTGTTCATGCCGAATATTAAAGCTAAATGTATATTTTAAAATTACAGAGACAATGTCTATTTCACAACGAAAAACGTGAACAATTCAGAAAAATGTATTCGTACAGTGCCTGTGTAGTGAACTGTCGAGTGAGGACTATACAATCGCTTTGTAAGTGCACACCATTTTACCTACCTGTGTCATTAAAAGGAGGAAGGGTGTGCACATTCGATAATCTCCAATGTCTCAATAAATATAAAGGTATATTATAGATAATAATATATATATATATATATATATATATATATATATATATATAACACATAACTCAAAAAAAACTGTGTTTCTTTTAAGATCTGAGCTATATGTTTCTGTTCCGTTATTATTTATTTTTTCTACTAGTACCTAGGTGGTCAGACTCGTGTCACATGATGATGAAAAATTTATTTATTTTATTTATTTATTTATTTTTTTTATGTCATGTGATGTGCCTGTCACATCGTCTAGTTTTTGAGTCAAAGACATACCGGTGTCCTCAATATGTTTTCTTCCACCGTACCACCGTACGAGGGAGTATTATAAACACACATAGACAGAAAGTCCATTGGTGAAAAGCCGGGTTCGAACGTAAAACATAATAGATAATACTCTCTGCCTTCACAAAATATATATTAACTAATTACAATCATTATCAATACAATAAAAACTTGGATTGTGACGCCTTTCATTGGGTAGAATGGTATGACTTATTTTTTATTCGTCATTTTTTTTTTTTTTAATAAAGATAGCCTATATATCTGAGGGACCCGAGGGACCTCATATAAGTATAGATATAGCATTGCTTTTTGTGATAGTGTTCTTTACAGCAGTATATTTTAATCGCGTATTTACGCCAATTTCATTTTTCATTTTTAAAAAAATTTAAGATAAGTACATAATTATTTGTAGAAAAGCTTTTTTACTTATACCCGATGGGTGAAACAAATTTTGATGGACTCGAGATAGAGGCGGTGGACTCGCTAAACTGTCCTGAATGTCTGCCGGACTGCGAACATACGCAACACTTCACCGAATATATAAAGTTTCAGACAAAGCCAAATAGTTTCAAGGATAAACTATTACCTAAAAATGTCATTAGGTGGGTAGTACAAACTGTTAATATATAAAACAAAGTCAGGTTCGAACTAACTAACAGGTTGAGAACAGCCGAACCGATTTTCATGTTTTTGTATGTCTCAGTAGGTACTGAATAACTATTCTAAACTTTCTACGAAACAAACAATAGAAAGAAATAGTTTCTAGCAAACATTTAACGTTCATCCCGTCCCGTTCTTCCCGTTGTGGAGGAAGGATGGTGTACTGTTCCTAAATGGAGCATTCTCGACCAGTCTAACCACTGGCTGGCCCGAAAGCCCCAGTGTCTAAAGTCGAGAAGTTCTATTATCTATGGATAACTTCGTTCGCGCGTTTTTAGGTTATGTCATTGCACTGATTTGTAAGCGCAGATTATAAATATCGCTATACAGGAAACTCTCCCCTCAAATTAAAGAACATATTATAAAAATAAATGAACGTATATATTCGAACCGACAAGATATATCCACTAATAATATACAATAGCGTATTTTAGATTTTAATTTGGCGTAGTCTTGCTCTTTTGCGAATTTTGTAAACGTTTTTGACATTCATAAGCATGCGCATCTAAACTGAATAAACGTATTTTTATTGATCAATTGATTAAAAATATAGAGAAACGTCAGTAACGAAAAAGTTTTGACATATTCTGGTATATTAGGTAGTTGTCGAATATTTATATGTGTGTTAAGAAATTTATTTTGTGTAATAAGGAAATCAAGCTATTTAAATATACAAAAAATCAAATATTTGGTACTCTGCATTCATTCTACTTAATAAAGTAGTTAACTTAATATTTATTTTGTATTCATTGTCTTATTTTGATAAAAACAAAGTTCAGCTAATCTGTCACACTATTTTCTTTGACTTTTACGCGCTACGAATTTCGCCGGGTCAGCTAGTATAAATAAAATAGCAATATTTTATTACGTAATAGTGTAATTAGTGTATAAGGTCATGATAATCAAAATAAAAGTTGATACGTTACCTGGTAAATTTTAATTTTATACAAAAATGTAACAATACTGTGTTCCTAGGGACGTTAATACCACGGGAAAATGCATGATAAGCATTTATCAATCTACACATTATGGAGTATTAAACCGCTTGGATGTTGTATCTTATTGGTTTGAAGTTGTTAGTAAGTATAGCACGAACTTCTGTATGGTTTATTATTATTTGTATTTATATGAACATGTATGTGTATACCTACCTACTACGATCATACAGCTTACTCAATACAAATTTTAAATCAGACGTTAATCGAATTGTAAAAAAAAAATGTTAAGTGCGTGCATAACTTTTTTAATAAGTACTACATATATTTCAAATAATGATTAGTATTAAATCAAATGTAAAAAGGCCCGTTTGAAGTCTGTTGATCATACCGCCTTTCCCACTTATATTTTTCTTAGTAAAATATATTAATTTTCAGGTAACATCGGCGGCTTTTACGGCGTTCTCATCGGTTACTCAATAATATCCATTCCTGAAATATGTTACTTTTTTATATTTCGGTTTTCAGTTCGCATATATAATTTCTATGCAACATAAAATTTTAGTAACTAATAATGTATTGCATTATGCATAGGTATAAGTTTTAATTAATTAAACTTAGTAACTGGATAATAGATTTCTTTCAACATTTCTGAAGAACATCGTGATCTATTATTTATATACTAAATTATTGTAAAAAATAAACTAATTTTGATTATACTACTGTGACTGAGTCACCGTGGTAATATATTAAAGAAATTGATAAACTGTTAACTAACATAGACCTAGTCCATTAATAATCCATAATAGATCTATTTAGAATTATTTCATATAAATTTCATGAAATAGCTATTAGAAAAATTAATGTCGTCAAACTTTCTTAGGTATGGGAGAAATTATTCCCTAAGATATGCGATGAAGTCTCATGTGTCAAGTGTCAAGCTCTGATGTAAATATTTTATTTTGACCAGAGAGTAAGAAAATATGAGTAAACACCACATTACTCAAGTCTCAACTGTAGGCTGCGTTCCGAATTTTTTCTAAAATTCAAAGTTTGAAAAGTCAAGAGTACTTAACTAATAAGAAAACGGTTAAAAAAATTAAAATAACGTAATATATTATTACTTTTATATTGAAAATCTGTTCGTAACCAATATTACGTAACAGTAAATTACTATTGCGCATTAACTTTGTCCATGAAGTTCACGTTCAAAGTCAAAACATTTCCATGTTCGAAGAATGCTCAATGCGCGTCATTCCGCTGTCAAAAAGGCCGTATCCGTGGGCTGTGTCAGTAATTTGCAAGCGTAATTTGTTTTTACATAAAATGTCCGCGAATTCCTCTCCAGGAAAAAGCGATGGTGAGTCTTTGTTGTGTTTGCTGGAAAAGTTATTAAACCAGGATCACCAATTTTTGTCTTCGATTTTAGCTGAGGATAGTAATGGTGCCCCTAACCCGCCAAATCCAAGTGAGCATTTAGGTTCTCGGATTCGTGATTTGGATGTAGATACTATTCGAAGGTATTTTGCTCAAAAATTCGGGTTCTATGAGCCTAGCGAACCAACTGGTGGTGTCGAAAAGGTTTTACATGAAGTCAGTTTAGATGGTGTTGTTAAATGGATGAATAGCCCGCGATGCCAAAATGTTATTACATTAGCTGGAGCTGGTATATCAACATGTAAGTATTTATAAATCATATCAATATATTTTAAAGAATGAAACAAGTGCATTAATTAGAGTAGTTTATGTTATATATGTATGGAAGAGGAAAATGTTTTGTATACTTTATAAATATCTATTATTATATAGACAACTGTAAATTAAGTTTTTAATGAAATAGTAATTTAAACAACTTACTATTTCATTAAAAACTTGTTTAAATAACATATTGTCTAGTGCATTAATATACTTATCCACATACTTTTTGTAGGTATTTAGTTTAAGAAACTTTACAAGTTCCATTCTCTATTAAAACTTAAGACATGACATTTATAAATGATGTTAGCTATTAAAGTGTGTATGATTTCAGCTGCAGGTATTCCTGACTTTAGAAGCCCCGAGACTGGTCTCTATCACAATTTGCAAAAATATAATCTTCCAGAACCACAGGCAATCTTTGAGATAAACTTTTTCAGACAAAATCCTAAACCATTTTTCACACTAGCAAAGGAACTGTTTCCTGGAAATTTCAAGCCAACAATTTCACATTATTTCATTAGGCTTTTGCATGAAAAAGGTATTTTAATTTTATATTTCCTACATATTTAATAAAAGTGTTTAAGTAAATAAATTAAAGCCAGTAAAGAAATATACATATAATGTAAATTTCCCTTGCATTTTATAGGTTTCATATACATTTTCAATATACTTTGGGTGTTTATATGAACTAATTTATAGGCAACTAAACATAATCAGTTCACCTGTAATAGCAAATATGACCATTGATAAAAATATGTTAAAATTCTGTAGTACATTAATTAAAGTGTTAAATCAAATGATGTATTGTTATTGTATGTATTTAATTTAGACTATTTTTAATATGTTTACAGACGTTATATTATTATTATATTTTAAACAATTCAAATTCTTTTACAGGTCTATTGCTTCGTCACTACACACAAAATATTGACACATTAGAAAGAGGCGCTGAGATTCCTGATGATAAAATCGTTGAGGCACATGGCACATTTTACACATCACATTGCTTGGAATGCAGAAAATTGTATAGTCTAGAATTTATTAAAGGTTGGTTTTTGTGAGTAAAGGATTAGATTGCAAAATAATGACAGACTAAATTTGTAATGATGGATTAGATGTGTGAACTTGGATGGTCGAATAATGACAGGTCAAAATTACATTAACTGTATGATGTTAAACAAAGTTTTAAGGCTTCTACAGAACACTTTGTGGATACAAATCCTAGAATTAGTAGCAAGTACAGGTTGCCCGACAGGCTAAAGGCTCGATATGGCCCCAGAGTGACGATGATTTAGCTTAACTAGTCAATCAATATATATTACTATCCTTGTTGAAATGTAAGAATTAAAAAGTGTAAGAGGTTTTGAAAAGGTAATTTGATGTATATATGTAGGAAGTTATTAGAATAAATTTTAAAGAATAAGTTGGTGTTATATGTTACACGTTAACTGAACATGTTTTTATTATGAAATTCAATAAATTTTAAATTTAATTATGTCAATACACATTTTTGTAAATAAAATATATCTTTATTTCAGAACACATATTTTCCGATGAGATCCCCTTGTGCACAGAATGCAGTGGAGTAGTCAAACCAGATATAGTTTTCTTTGGAGAAAGTCTACCAGAACGATTCCAGAATTGTCTACAAGAAGATTTTAAGAAATGTGATATGCTAATCATTATGGGATCATCCTTGGAAGTCCAGCCATTTGCATCGCTGATTGATATGTATGTTATGTATACTAGGCTGAAGTGACATGTTAATTGCTCAATTTATTTTATAATTTAAAGTAACTTATCTCCATGGTTTTGTAGAGATATTTCATGTAGCAGGAAAGGTCTTGGGTTTGATACCATGCAAACAATATTATGAGCTGGAATTATGTATTAAAATACCATATAATCAGTTGTGGTGACAACAATTCACAGAATCCGTATAAACAATTCATATAATCACATATAGATGTGTGCTTTTTTCTGTGACAACTAAGATTTTTAATTAAAAGATGAGACAAATGAGACTATTACTGTAATGTAATGTATTTAATGGAGCAAGAGGTGAAAGTGAGAAAGGAATGGAGGATTAAAGCTGCCAGAAATTAAAATTTAATTTAATATTTATCATGAAATAAACTAAATCAGTACTTATCTATTAAATTATTTTTAATAATAAACAATATAGTTATTTTATATATTTAACTAATGGTTCAATGATTCCAGGGTACCCGAATGGTGTCCCCGTCTCCTAATAAACCGAGAGAAAGCCGGTATGAGGTCTCCCTTACTCCGGATGTGGGGCCTGATGAGTGGGGGACTTCAGCTTGATGATGATGCTGTCAGGGATGTGGCAAGGCTTGGTGATTGCGATGAAGGATGTGCAGATCTGGCTGAAAGACTTGGCTGGGGCGTAAGTCTTAAAGCTGTGACTTTACGAGTCCTAAATAACTTCAAACATTTAAATTCATAACAGTTGTTTCTATTTGTGATATTAAATTTTGGTTTAGTAATTCTAATTGAAATGCTTTCAGAATTCACACATTCTTAAAGATTTATCAATTAGTGTTATTCACTTACATGGGCTTGATATTGAATTTTTTGGTAGTGATTGTTGAGTTGCTTAATTTCAACCAAATAAATACTTTATTTCTATACAGTCGCATTTCTGCATGCTTAACATTTTGTGTATAAAGGTCAAGAAGGCCTTGGGGAGTGTTCAAGTATTAAGGAGGACATGGTTTTTAATAGTGTGAACATGATTAAAACAATAACGTTTTTTTTATATTACTTTCCGGTACTTTACGCCACTTAATTGGGACTTATAAAGTAGAAATAGTCAGTTCCCCCTAGTAAATGGTAACGTTTTACTAGGGGAAGGGGGTAGTAGGGAGTACGTTACAGCGCGTTATACATGGGTTGGGCTAAATTTAAATCACCAAAGTTGCTTTATGTAGTACTTGAACGCTCCCTTGGTGTAATGGATCCATCGACAATTTACGGCGTGTGTCAGTCACAGTCTTATGTCCCCCAATTGGGGCAGAAAACCAGGCTGAACGGTCCTGGGCATCTCTCTTATCTTTACTCCATATCGTTCCAGCTTCCCTCGGCCTTGCAATGATGCTTCGTTGCCAGGTCTATTTCGGGCGGCCACGTATCCTTTTGCCTTCTCCAGTCGAGGGCTTGGTTGGAAATTTGACCTTTCAGCGTTTTATAAACCTGTTAATTGGCACATTATTGCTTATCTCCCGTAGCTGATGATTAGAGATTCTTGCGTCTACTTGCCTGTTAAGAAAACTGCCACTAGAATAAAAAAGGTGTATTTTTTTCTTATATTAATTCTCATTTTCCAGGACGAGCTTCACGCGTTAGTTGCCAGCGAGCATGAAAGGTTGGAACGCGAGGGCGCTCTCACTAAACCCCTTGGGCCAACAGTTGGCCACTCCTTGAAGCCGATTATTCCAATCGTTCCAAGTGGTAGCTCTGCCATTCCAAGTGTGGTGAAATCGCCACCCAACAACCCAATACCCAAAATATGAAAGTTCACTAACTGGTATTGCATTTTTCGAAGGCATTAGATGTTCCACAGGGGAGAATGGGGTTAGCTTTAAATATAAAGTCCATCCTCCTCTATCTTGGTTTAAATGTTGATTATAGGTAAAGTTCATAATTCCGTTGTAGATAGCTTATTTATTTTTGTACTATGTAGTCTAGCATTGCTTAGTAAAGGGAAAGAAGGGAAGGGAGTTTGTATGGTGGTATAATTCAACTAAATGTATACTATACCAAAACCCATTTAAGTAGAGATGGGTGTCTGAATTAAATACATAGCCTCAACGCGCTTTGATATTCCGTTTAAATGTATTACGTCAACTGTCATCTTTGACAACTGACATTGTCGTGATGTTTTTTTTTTATACCAAGCCAAGGCTCTATGTTAGTAATTATGTGTAACCGTGTTAAATATCTTGCGTTTACGCGCATTCGATATTACATTTAAGTTTATAACATCAAGTGCCATCTTTGACAGCGAGACATTAACATCATGCCAAAATTTTATGTTTACCACGTTTTTTAATTGCGTTAAGATTTTAAAATTATACACGATGTGTGTAATTTAAATAAAATGTCGGAACTGGTAGTAATGGGCGCGTGACATGCTAAATCAAATTGTTATGTCTGAATATTGAAATAATGAATATTCAAGCTTTTTATTTTGTAATTGAAGTTTTAGAATACCTGCAATGAATTTAAGCAATATTTATAAAACTAAATCAATCTAATTGTACTTTTTAAATGCTTATGTCTCTATCTCTGAAATTGTGTTTATGTTGTGATGAACAGTTAAGCATTCAGAATGAATTATTTTTGTGTAAGGCAATATATACTGTACTATAATCTTTAATAATTATTTATTAATAATAATTTTCCCTAATCGCTTAATGACCCTATTCTTATTTGTTACCATGGTTACCATGGTCATTTTAGTCCTAGTAGTGTGAGTTTTGTATTAATGTTTTTAAACTTATAGTACATGTTTTAGACTATACTAGTTGTAGGAGTTATTTTAGATGTTGCCTATGACATAATTGTAATATATGTCTTAGTGATTGTCAGTAGGAAAAAATAATGTGTAATCTGATCAATGTAAAAATTTTTACTCAAGTATCAAATCTGATTCCAACTTTGGTCAAATGTGGCCAAATTTGACTTGCTTCCTAGTTGATAGATTTGTCAAATATAACCATATATTCATTAAATTAATCAAAATTTGTGTAATGGTAATGCTGTAAAGGACGTCTCTTAGCACGAATATATAATTGAATAAAAAAATATATTGTTTATACTAGAACAGATATCCGTGGGCATATTTGGAATTAAACGGCAACTTACGATTTCCTTTATAGTTTCCGACATTAAAAGCTAATACTCAGAGTCGAGACTACGCGAACAGTTAGTCAATATGTGTTTGACATACTGGAGTCATCTTACTTATAGAACACAAATGTATCACACTTAAATCTAATTTTAAGAGCTGTCAAACCATTTTTCCGTATGAAGTTTGATATTCTACTAAAAATAAATTACCAACTATAAGCCAAGTTATACTTATCAAGTTGCTGAGGGAAGAGCCCTACCTGTATTTTAGATTAGAACCTTTCTCTTTATTGTTGTATACAAATTGTGTTTGAACACCTTCGGGAACGTTAGAGGCGAGACTTAAGTTAGATTCAGAAACAAGACGGCGCAAAGTCTAAATAAAAAATCTATTGTATTATTGTATGTCAAAATACGAAAGTTCACGGAAATATTTTTTTTTTTTTGGGGGCAAACGGGCTCATCTGATGTTAAGTGATACCGCCGAGCATGGACACACATTAACAGAAGGCTCGCGTGCCCATGTTTAACAACTGGTACGCTTTTTCTTCGACCCTAAGTCGAATTGGTTCGGAAAAACTTCAGTGGGCAGCTGGTTCCACATAGTGGTGGTGCGCGACACCGCCTTAAGAAAAGCTCAATTGTGGAACGACGGACGTCGATGCGATTCGGGTGGTATTTTGTATTCTGCCTTAACGTCCGATGATGAAACTGCTTCTGAAGCGTTCTAATTTGTCATTTAAAGCTGTTACTGAACTGTCGTCAAACAATACGTTTTTACATACTGAAATGATAATGCTAAGTTTCCCTTTACACCATCAAATTATGTATCAGAAATTATAATTTGTGTTATTTGAAAATTATATGTTCTAGTATATAAGTCGCCGTGACACTTAATATTTATTTGTTCCATACATGTGCTTGTTGGGAGTTGAATATAATAATTATTATGTGTAATTCTTGTTATTACTTATCCCTATATTAAGATTTTTACAGGAGTTGCAATTTAAAAATAACTTTATTTTATTTTCCAACTTTGAATTGAAACTTATTAAATAACTACGCGTCGTCTGTGAGAACAGCGTGGTCTAGTGGCTTTAGTGTGATTTCCATTGATGGACGCAAAAACTTGTTATCTGAAGATAAACATTGTATAGAAACTTGCATGTCCCAAAAATGACAGGATTGCAATCGAGAATTAATAATAGGCTAATTATTTTCAACATTTATTACATAAATTTAACTGAAAGCAACTTTTCAATTAATCATTTAGTAGTTAATAGTATTTTAAATGTTTAGATAGATATTGATTAGATAAATGAAAATTTGTTTTATTTTATTTTGAATATTTTTTAATTAATTTTTAAAGTCCTAAATTACAAATACATTAATTTTTTTTATTATTGTAAAATTCACTGGCTCGTTCTGTTTTACAATTAAAAAAATAGTTTTTTTTAAGGCCATTAACAATTTTGAACTCGAATAGTTTATTCCTTAGGATCAGTAATTCCTTCTGAACTAATCGCAAACATTGCTTCAGTCTCTGGAAGGCACGGGCTGTCATAAATCTTGCAAACTCTATTGTCACCGCGTCCCTTGCGTAAGTATAGGCGAGTGGTCGACGCGTGCGCAAGAATATGTCCGCCAATTGGCTTTTTTGTGTCTGCGTTGAATACACCCACTGCGTCCACTTGTGCCACCACCTGGTTTGTAATTATCACTGCGACGCCGAACTGGAATATTAAAACATTATTCAATACTGGGTTTAAATATGGGTAAAAATTTAAAATATAGGGGTCCTTTGGTTCGATATCCGGCGATAACATAATTGAAAGGATAACCCTGATCAGATACTCGTGTTAACATAAACACAGAAATATTTCTGCCTCATGGGACGAGTTCCAGTATTAAAATAATGACAATCTAACAGCACTTTTTTCTTTTAAAGACATTTCACACCAATTGACCGAGTCCCATGCTAAGTTGGTGAAGCTGACTTAGTTGTTCATTTTTCATATCTAATTTAACCAAAATATATTTTATGCCCCATCCCCCACTATAAATATTTCCCATACCTCATCAGCGAGTCTTAGCAGCATCCTCATGAACCTGCCGAGATGCTGTTGTCTTGGATTCAGTTCACCACGTCCAGAATAGTCTGTACGGTATAAAGCAGTCACACTGTCAACTATTAGCAAGGAATATCTGAAAACGTCAAATATATTTATTAATACTCCTTTAGAAGGTTATAAGTGTGAAATATAAATTACAGGCCCATTAGCCTGATGTCAAATATATATGTATAAAGTTTCTGATATTAGATGAGAATCAACCAAAGAAACAAGCAGGATTTAGAAGAGGCTACTCAAAGATTGATCACCTTCATGTTGTTAAACAAATCGTTGAAGAACATAAGAATTCAATATTCCCCTGTACTGTAGTTTAGTTGATTTTAACCAAGTCTTTGATACAATTGACAACGGAAAAATATGGTTAGCACTAAACTCACTTGGCATATTGCAAAAATAATGGAGGTAGAAGTAATAAATATAGGTTGAGGTGGTCAACAAATTAACCCACAGAACTTTGTCTTAATCGGCAAACAGACTTAAGTTTGTGTTTAATTGCTTGTATTATATTGAATGTAATTGCATTGAAAGAAAAAAGAACATTTTACAAAATTGAGTATATATTATAAAGAGGGCGGCATTGTAAATGCACAAAAACCAGACGTCTTGGGTTTGATTTCCAACAAAACAAGAATTCTCTGGGTTGGTAAGAGCAAAAACTCACTAGTCTGTAAATAGATGTCTGAAGTAGACACTTACAAGGTATTATTGATTATTTGCAAAGTAAGAAATTAATATTATTAATTATATCCATTACCTGGATTCAGCCATCATAGCACATGCCTGTACAAGCAACTGTGTCTGATGATCAGTATTATATGCTCGGGCATATGCCACATTGTCCAGTACAGCTGCTCCTTCCATGCCATATCTTTGTGCTACTGCCAAAAGCCTCTCTGGACGGAATGTCCCTTCTGTGTCTATATACATACATTTTCCTTCACCACCTGATTGTTCAATTGGTAACTGAAAATATCATAAATAAATGTATGGTTTTTAAATTACAAGCTATTTTCCAACATTGTCCCGTGGTAAGAGGATAGTACAGTTTTAAACAAAGCATAAAATATGAAGCATTTAGATGCTGTCCATCATTTATTTATAACACCAATATCCACAGCATGGCTAGAAAAATTTACATTACATCATTATTGCTGATAATTCCTGTAAATTTACCTAATTTAATTTTCAGCATACCAAATTTTTATATGTAGAAATCAGATCAGATCATACAGATCTAGATTAATAACATCTGTGTCATGATTGTTAAGAATATGTCTTTAGTAAATTTTTACAGTGTTAACAAGTACCTGGCATGTGACAGCAAGGGTGTGACAAATCTGTGTTTTTCCTGTTCGAAATTCTCCAAATATCTCGGTGATGGATCCAGTTTCAATGCCACCCCCAAGAAGCCTGTCTAATTCCTTTGAACCAGTTGTCAACTGAATGATTTCTGCTCTGTAATATTCAGCAAGAGTATCAATATACGGTTTTATAAAATTATGCATCTTTGAAAGTTTTTCATCAAATAAAAAAATAATATGAATTTTTCTGAAATGAGTATTACCTTTTCTGATGAAACTCGGTTGCTGTAGTAAAACCCATGGGGACAAGCTTTGAGGCCTCAGTTAGTATCTTATCTGCCTTTGCTTCTGATATGCCTTTTATAGTTATAAGCCATTTTTTTGGTGCATATGCTACTGACTCGACAGTGTGGTATCCAGCTTCTTCCAATTTTTTTATATCCCCAGCAGTGATGCCATTGCCCTGTAATGACACCAATTTTTATTTTAGTTGTATTTTTTTTAATAACATTAACAGAAATGGTATGCATGTAGAATAACCAGTATCTTGGAAGAAAATATTCACCAAATGTTTACCCTTGATTAACATAAAAAACCTTAAAGGTTGAAATACCGACGTAGACAGGAAACTACTAATTAATAATTCCAAATTAAAATAAAATTCCCAATAATGTAAATTTTCTGTCACACAAGTGTACAACAATTTGATTGTTTATAAGTATGTAAACATGTTGTTCTTGCTGCTATTCTGACTTTAATTAAAACGTACGGAATTACCTCTAATTTGTTAATAAGTTGTGGTCCACAATCATCCAAGTCTTCTTCAGCAGCTGTAGCAGTTGTTGCAGATGCTGTAGCCATTCTCTTAACTCTTTGTAATAATTATTACCGAAACATCGACGTAACTGGCTTATGCGTTATTTTTGGTGAGTTTTAATCTAACAGCACTTGTATTTTGTAATAACAAAATATTGATCACAAAAGGCTATTTCTTCTTTCTGTGTATTAAGAGAACAATAAACAATTCTTTTAAAATACCATGGTAAAGTTTACACCTTTTTTCAATAACATTAAACTTCAAGTTTCAACATGCAAGGCCAAAGCGCGGGCCCGGAGTTTTCTTTTTGTTTTGACATTACATTAATGTAATATGTCAATACACATTTGTAGCGCAGTAATTCTTGTGTCAGTTTTGGAGAGTTTAATTTCAGTGACTTAAATATTACCTAGTATGAAAAAGTAAGATTTCGCTTTAAATATATAACGTGTGGCATTTTTTTTAATAATATAGGTAATTTCCTTTTAAGTTACATTAAAATCTGTGAGACTTCTCGCGAGACGGACTATAGTTAGGTACTTATTAAATTGCACGGTATTTTTCTTTTTCCCGCGGGTTTTTATATTTTTCTAGCAACATGATGTTACCACTGTATTGTAATGTCGGCGTCCGCGGCATGTTACTGATTGTGAATTTTAAAATAAAAAAATATTTTCAAGCTAACTATTCGTCGGGAACCATCATCCTCATACATCGAATCGAACCGAGCTTAAAAACCGATTCATACTTTTTACACTCCTATTTTTTTTTATTGCTATACTAACAGTTATCATAATCATTATTTAAATTTAAAATATATCATATATTTTTTTTCTATTTACTCAAAGCCCAGTCTACTTTTCTTGCTGAAGTGCAGACGAAGAAGAAGTAAAAAGTATGATGATAATAACGAAGATACAAAAATATACAGACTCACAAGACTATTATATAAGATATATTAATTAAGACTTCTTATTTAAAATACAATTTTAGTTGTTAAAATTATAAACTACTACACTTGAGCTCATGGGCCAAGATCAGGTGCTTAAAGAAGCTTACTTCAGCTGGTATAGGTGCTGCTGGATCAACAGTCTGAAGGAGGACCTGCTGTAGGTTAAAGCCAGCAGTTGACTGGAGGTGGCACACGACCGAGAGCGCTGGAATTTTCTCATTTCGGAGGCGAAGACTGGGTCGGAGTGAGTGAAATTATAAACACGCCATGGCATTGTGAATTAAATATTCTATTAGGGACGTTTACGCAAATTCAAGCAAATGCAAAATCGAGTGAATCACTTAATCAATTTCATGATCTATTGCGTCTTTAAGATTATTTATAATTTCGCCGCTTTAGCCTTTTACAATTAGGGTGCAATTATTGCCTATGTTTTCATCTTGTATATCAAGTGACTTGATTAGGACTTGTGATGCCAAAAGAATGAAGTGCCTTTTGCGCATGCGATTTCAATACGATATTGCTTACTTATTCGATTCCTTAGATTATATTTGTTTGTTACGTTAATCTTGAAATTTCAAATCAAACGTGTATAAACGCCTTTATTATAATTATTAAGCCTTTATTGCTGCCACCTAGTGTCATATAACATTATTTTAGTTACATAACCTAACTTAATCTTATACATCAGTTGTGCCGGTTTCGGTGATCATCGTGTCCTGTGACACATAGGTCTCTTCCAGCGGCTTCCATTATTTTCTAATGTTAGCTCTTCTTGTCCATCTCTTGCTCTGTGTTCCTCTTTTCTTTTTTCCAATGTTCTCAATGACACAATTCAGAGTGGTGATATAGAGTATCTTATTTTGGGTTTCGAGTGTTTGAACTGTGTTTGATAAATAGTGATGATTATTATGTTAACAGATTTTGTCAGACATCTTTATATTTTGGATACTATAATGAATATAAAAAACGAAATTTCATCAAACGATCCGATGTCGTATCGGACCACTAATATTCTAATCACTCCCGAGGCAAATTTGATTAGAATGGAATATGCTGTATAAGTGTTGATATCTAAGCAATTTTAAAATCCCCTAGGAACACTTTAGAGGTGTTAACCGTGAACAAGAGGAATTAGCATTTATTACGATGGCATATTTACTAAGTAAAGGAAAGAAATTTATATTTATGTATATATTTATTATTTATTTTCTTTGGTGTAGATTTTAATACGTACATTTCTTATTGTGTATAATTCGTAATGCTCTGAATAGCTTGGATGTCGTACAAAAATAAGTAATGGTAGGTTTAAAATGAAGTAAAAATTTATATAATTAAAATTTATACCGCCGCAGAGTTGGCCTAGTGGAAGGAAGTGTGCACCTTACTACCTTGAGCCAAAATCATATGCACCAAAGAGCACTTAAGAACAACTTAAGAAAAATAAATGATCACGAGATACAGACATAGCAAGACTAGGCAAGGTTGTAGCTCTACAGGCTTACAATTTATAAATTGTTAAAATTCGATTATTATTTATTGAATAAGTAGGTAAATTTGGTTAACCTTAAAAAAAGTCTGCTAGAAGCTGAATTTTTATCTTTGTAACGTAAAGAATATTTGAAGTCGCTCCATATTCAATATTCTTTCACTTTTACAATGCATTATCACTGAGGAACATAGGCTATTTATATATTAAAAAAAACAGTGACCAGCTCAGATCGCTAAATGATAAGCTATATTGACATTAAAAAAAACAATTGTCGTGCCTTAGTAAAAAGATACACAAACATGAGAGTAGATTGCTTCTAGTGTATTTGCTATGTTTTTTCTATTAGGCGTTAACATTTAACTGAGGAACATTTACATTTTTTTACAATACTCGTGGGGTATTCAACAGCCCCGGATTTAAGGGAGAGCAACCACCACAAAAGAAATCAGAAACAGAACCTATACTTGGTTTCACAATAAATTGTATATTGGAAAACCTTTTTCCATTTTATTTGGAAAATATGTTGGGGCTAGGGTCACTTCTTTAGTTCTTTGTTGCCCCATAGCCTCCAGATCTCTAAATCCGGCATTGGTTGGCAGAGTCAAATGTATAGGAAATATGAAGTTTTTGTTGAGGGTACACCCATGGAAGGGCTATCTGTTAATTTGGAGTGGCGCATGCGTCTTTTTATTAAATTATTTAATAAATCGGGTTTCGCAGTTAAGACAGTGTGAAATGACTCCTGTATATCAAAATTCAATACCGTTTTTGCTTACGGGAGTCAGACTTAGCGCCATTTTTATAAATCTTATCCTCAGAGACTTAACATCGATTGGTATTAGTAAAAAATGTGTTGGGATCTGATATATGGGTAGCTCGTGTTAAACCCAACTTAAAACTCTAGGAACACACATCTACACTTGGAAAACATTAAAAAGACTTGTTGTGTTGAATCTAGTTTTAGTTAATTATTTTAAAACATTCACACTATTTACTACTATTTTTTTTAAATAAATTCGTCGATAAATAAATTTAATTCTGATAAAGCCTCTGACTAAGTCCGTGTGAAATGGTGAATATTTCAGTGTTTTTTGTACTATATGGAAATAGGTTTTAACAGAATTTAAACATATGTACAAAGCTGGAAAAGAGAAAAGTGCTGGTATTCTATTACTCCAAATAGCTATGCAGATCTTAACTTTATAGTGTTTTTGGATTGAAAAATTCCAAGGTTACGGGATCAAGGATCACGGATATTCTAGTCGGATTGATTGGATTGGAGTGGCACATTTCTCATCTGCTTTTCAGACGCAAGGCACAGTTTTGCACATGACTTTTACTAATGATGTTAAAGGCATGCTTAAATGTAGATATTCTTTTAACCGACTTCAAAAAAAAAAGGTCAAACGACGTGTAATTTTTGAAGTTATACTTCTTTAGGCGCGTTATGAAAAATTGGTGAGAGTGAAATTTTACGATGCGCGCGCACCGTGACACAAAATTATCAGTATGAAGTTTTTAAACCAGCCGGGCGCCGAGCGTGCGCGAGCGAGATGGGAATAAGACAATCTACAAGTAAAAAGAAATAGAATATGCGTGAAGTTAGCAGCTATGCCAAGAATTTTGAATTACCATAATGACCTTTGTAGTACCTTTTAAACAAAAAAAGGAGTTTTAATAAATTTAGCAATGCTTTTTCACAAAGACCTATTGTTACTTAGTTAAAAGGTTATGAAACATACCAAGTTTTAAAATTGAATGAATAATATAATAAATAATAATAATTATTAATATTAATTAATAATTGAATAATATACTAAATATTAAATTATTACGGTTAAATATTTATTATTTAATATTTTAAAAAAATAAAGAAAAGCCAAAGAAGTATAACTTCTTACGCGCGTACATAAGTACACGCACCCTTTTTTTGGATATGTTTAAGCACAACTCCTCCGTCCGTGGACCGATCTGCATGACGGAAAAATTAAAAAAAAAACGATATTTTAAATGTAGTCAGAAAATTTTCGAGGAATTAGGACTGGCATCGCAACAGACGCTTCCCAGCTGCCTTGTCTCACAAAATAAATGTTTAGCTGTGTAATGTGTTATAATCGTTTTTGTTATTTCATAAAGTGCTGGTACTTCTGCATATCAAAAGCTTCAAACCTCGTCACAAGTCCAGTTTATAAATATTGGTTTAATTTAGTGAATAGACCTTGTTTTTAAAAGTGGTTTTGTGATAAATTACGGAAAATCTAGTTTGCTTTTGATTTATTTAAGCTATTCAATTTCTATATTCAAGAGGAAGTATTTGTATGTATCTTAAAATACTGTAACAATTTCATTATCGATTGACGACTCATTGGTCTAGTGGTTAGTACCCCTGACTGCGACTCCATGGGTCCCGGGCTCGATCCCCGGCTGAGACAAACATCGATGTGATTAGCATTTGGTATTGTGCTTAGGTCTTGGGTGTTTAAATATGTATTTATATGTCTATCTATCTATAATATGTAGATATGTATATCCGTTGCCTAGTACCCATAACACAAGCTTCACCAGCTTAGCATGGGACTAGGTCAATTGGTGTGAATTGTCTTTAAAAAAATATATATATATCTATGTATATAATGCTGGATGAAATGTCAAATTGTCAAGTGCGATGTCGGGACAAGCTACAGGATATAAATGTACTGGGTGTGCAATTAAAACAAATTATCAAATAAAAGCTTAGCTTTATTACTCGTTTTAATCACGAAGAAACATCCCTCAGTGGTATCAACAAGTCTCCACGCTGACATTTTCATACTAATACAACTTATTTCACAATTGTCATTACAATCCATCAATTTCGATATAATTTTAACACAATTTAGAACCGCCAATTGTTTACCAATTACGTAAACGAACTCTCCGACCTCCGACGGTCGGTTTGATAAAAAATTTCGATCACAAATCTCCACTTTGTCTAACATCAAATCGTGGTTATCTCCTAAACATTCACGGACACACGCTCGTAAAATATAAGCATTATGACAATGTGTATTATATTACTATAAGAATGTTGTAGTATTAAGAACCGTTATAATTAATGCGTTAGGTTAGGTTAGGTTAGTTTTTGTGATATAAGTATATTATTTGTCTGAGGCCCACAGATTACAATAGTGACCCGCTAGCAGCCATTCATAGACAAATACCAAGGATTCGTTTACAATTTTATTTCCACTTTCACCTTAAATGCCTTTAAATTTAACTTTTTACATCCAGAACCATATAAACATCTTTTAGTCATTTATATATTTTTTTTATCTATAAAACGGTAGGCCCCCCTGCCGCTGCACTACCGCGCCGGTCAACTTTTTATTTACAAGTGGTTAATGATCCTAAACGTTTAATATCCGATACTATGCTTAAAATTAAATACAAAAAACGCATGACATTTCTAAATTTATCTAAATGTCCCATTCTTGTAATCGCTATAATTTATGAAATTTTGATTTTTACACCAACTTTAGAAATATCAATACAAAAATACTCTTTTGAATAAAATTTTATACACGACTCATATCGTCGACGCGGAGGCGCGGCGGTAGCGAAGCCGCCCCGAAAGAAAAAGCTTTGAGCCTCGTAACCTTAACATCATGAAATTTGTACTAAATATATCGAGACGAGCGAACGCGGGCCCTTATTACTTAGCCGAAATGCGAGGATTCGAAACAAACGCCTAAACACTAGTCAAATTTCAATTTTCTTTGTAACGCTCAGTATTGCGGCGAACACGCAGACGCCGAAACATAATTGTCGCACGTGAACCCGCAAAACTCATTGAGCCGTTACTAATTTAATTTTGATTTTTCTTAATTTTGATACTAATTTTTATCACCGGGAACCGCGCCCGCTCGCTATAATTTACAAAATATAAGTAGGTATATCATACGAGAACAGAGTCGCAGCAATGGACTGCAGTACCAAAATATATTACCAACACAATATACATTTATACGAATACAAGAAGACTGAACGTGTATCGCTGTTACGAATGAAGACCACAAGGATATTGGAATTATCATTTATTTTATGACATACAAAATAGCGAACGCTGCTATGAGATGTTCTCAAAGTCGAGTGCCGCGTTCGGATTCTTACCTAATAATAATTTAAAAGCATCGGCAGTATTTGTTCCATGACATTCTAATAGTACATCCGTGCTCAATTTCTTTGATAATTTTAACGACATTACAAACGAATGATACCTATTTAATTACTACCTAATTTTCAGCATTTCCCTTATTGATTTTGTCATATTATAGAAAAGTTCATACAGCTAGTTGGTACATCTAAATGTTTTCTATCCAAAAATGAAATGCTACATAATAATCTATTACAATTTCGAAAATTTAGGAACCATAATACCCAAACGTGAAACTGAATACATTCATAGTGTATTTTCGTTTTTTATAATTAATTTTGAAAATAATTTTTTATATAATTTCACCACGATAGATCCAAACATTTAGTAGACGGATTTCAAAATATTAAAACTGTCAAGCAAAAACATTAGATAAATACAATATTATGAAACTTAAGTAAACTACGTCTAGATACAAAATTTGGAATCAATGAGAGTTGCCAAAAGACAATTTTTATAAATCTACAATACATATTATAGTTACAAACATGAGTTATACAATCAACACCGAATTTTGTACTTTTCTGTGGGATAGCCCCATGATCACTGTGGACTTAAATATTTCGATGTTTCAATCTTGAGTTTTTACAATAATTTAGAAAAATTGTCAACCAATATCTAATAAATAATTTATACACGAATCGGCTTGTAATATCCATTGTGGTCTTTAGCGGCTGCACAGTGAATCACTCAAGTATAAAATCCGGAAAGAACAAATTATCAATACATAATATGAATATCGTCATAATTGTTTTCGCCTTACCAGAAGTATAAAGAAAAACGGCTCCAAGTATCTGCAAATAACGGCATGTCGGTAGAATACTGTTGATGGGAAATCAATACATTTCTATTGTAATATGTGTTGTGTAGCCTGCAATTACAATTCTATTTTATATAATTATGAAGAAACTATGGAGAGATTGGGTAACGGAGTCATTACTTGCTATACATGGAAGTAAATAGGTAGACAGTCTCATTGTAGAGTAGAGCGGGGCCGCTCTGGCGTCTGCTGTCGCGTTTCAATTGATTGGCTCACCTGCTCATCTCTACCATGAGGCTCTGGATAAAAGAATAACGTTAACAGAAAACAATTTAAACGTAACATGAAACAATGCTCATTCGTGAATAAGCCCTGCGGCGACTGCGTATAAACTTGTCAACGTACCAATGTGTGTCGCAGAAAATGAATCTGGGCTATTGCTGGGGACTGGGGGTGGAGACACGGGTGTCGGGACTAATTTAGAACAAAAAACCGGTAGGGATCGAACGGGGGAGGCTGTAATACTGTATCTGAGGTTCCTTCTCACCTAACCTGACCACTTCACTAACACCAGTCGACGCCTGGTCCATCCTAAACTGAGGTTTTCTTATAATTATCGTAATAGTAAAATGATTACAAATGAAACGATAACAAAGTGTATTAAATGAAAAATGCTTATAGTTGCTTAGCTACGGCCAACCGCCCGCCCTGCGCGGCTTCGTACCGGAAACTCAAGATGTGTACGTCATACAATTCCGCAAATGAATTCACAATATATCCGTTTCCTATTGCACCTTAAAATATTATTAACGCTAAGATAGTTTCCATTGTATTTCATCTGTATTAAAATTACCGTAGTATATACACGTGTCGCTATATAACTTTGTACAACTGTCTTACCGTTTTATATCTAGTTTAAAAAGCTAAATTATTGAATATCTGTCGTCCTGTGAAACTAAGGGTGTGAACTAAAGGTGACGCCACTTTGCGGGGAAGGCGGCTGGCTTCTACACGTTATAACAAATACATCAAGTACAATTCGTTCGAACTTGCGGCCGAGTTATTTGAGTATTCGATCTGCGTTCCGATTGTGACTGTAGCTAACTCGGGAGCAAGTAGCGAACTCCTCGTGCTACATATATCTACGAATCAAACTAATTATTCTTCTATAGTATAATAGTAAGTGTGTATGTATACTGCTTGTTCGATATGGCGAACGGATGCGTGCTTTTGAGTGCACGAAGGAGACACGGCGCCTTTGGTTGGGCGGGAAGTTCTATTGAGGGCCCTTTGTTATAATTTATTATCTTTTTTAAAAAAATCAACATTTCTGAAGGCACTTCTGATCGGACGAGGTGGCCCTGGTGCGTTTTTGTAATTTGGTAATTTAATTGTATTTCGTGTTGAACTTGGATTGTTATTTGGTTTGCCTTCATCTATTGTGCCTGTGTGGGTGTGGATGTGGAGAGATAAACGCCTTGTGTCATTCGCTGGCGGCGGATACGAGGTGATTCAGATTTCCAGTTTTAAACTCTAAATATGCCTACAATTAAAATAAAATATGGATTACGAGATAATTGGCGTTCATTTGAACGAGGAAACGGAAATTGTATAATTCGTAACCGAAATAGTAACTTACAATACTAAACTCGTATACGCCGCTCGAGCACTCAGATGTATGCACGCATTACGGAATATATTTTATCTAACGAATAAACTTAAACCTATGTCCAGAACGAGGGTACCGGACCAACTGAAACCATTTGCCGAACATTGCCGAAAAGTGTGAATGAAACCAAGGATGTGTAATTGAATAATAACAGAGGATGTTTACTTTTTTAGAATTTGGAGTCTGTATTCCTTATTCTATTGAAAACTCTGCACGAACATATAACCGGCTATCAGTATAAAAATAATGTTAAATTCTTTGTCTGTGGATCGAAAAATAACCCTGCTCTATTGTACTAATGTCTATGGTTAACTTTAATTATTCCTAAAATAATTATGACGAGGTAAAGGTTGACAATTTTCGGACACGCGAACTGTGCCAACAAACTGAACGCCTACGTGAAACAAACAAAACAAAAGGATCCAGGATTAGGTATAGAAATGAAATAAAAACAACGAAAAATTTCAAACTTAAGCAGTTAATATATTAAATCGTTTTCTTCCTTAAAGAATAAATCAATAAATGATTTAAGATATACATAACTATAAAAACCATTTACGATAATACTTAATAATAATATAATAATAATTATATATAGCGAAATATATTATGTGCACAAATAAAATTCTAGGTGACTTAAATTTCTTCTTACTCATATAACCTAATGAATTTCCTAGGAGAGCCCAGGCCGTGGCGGGACAAGCCGCCCGCCGCCACGCTGTCGACGTTCAACGTACGAATTCCATTTTAATAATTTAATTTAACTTTTATTAATAATTTTGAATCTGAAGGCCTAAATGCGAGTGTCGTATAATTTTGGTGTGCGAACAATCGTCCAATGTTTATTTTATTTTCGAATTTTGTTGCCGAAACTAGTGTGCGTTGCGCGTCGCGCTCATTCCAACTGCTCAAGGAAGTTTGGCGACTTGAAGTACTCCGGCACGGGGTCGTCAAGTCGCGAGATGACTTTGTAGATGGATTTCTTCCAGCTCTGTTCGGCGTCCTTCCCGCCTTGTATGGCGCGGAAGAACTCCCGGAGAGTCTGCTCGACCACGTATCTGAAGTTTGGTGGAACCTGGAGAAAAGAAATGGATAAATTAGCACCATTAAACACACTGCAAACAGCTGAAAATACGTTTATAGATATCCTAGCAGACTCGGCCAATTGCTGTGGCTAAGATTTTTGTTATATTCTATAGTAGTAAACTATTCAAGGGAAACGGTAGGAGAACACCAGTCATGGGGACCACCATGCTTTATTGATGGTTATGCCATTAAATTGTAGCTTATGTGAAACGTTGGTACTTTCAACACAGCGCCATCTGTTAGAATTGTAACTATCAAATAATAAACAAATATTTTGCAATAAAATAATATTGCGGGTATAAATTGAGATGTAAGCTATCCTATCTTTTAAGTAAGATCTAACAGCACACGGTGTGCAAATTTGATTGATATCGGTTCGGTAGTTTAGGAGTTCATAGCGGACAAACAACGTGACACGTAATTTATATATATTAAGATAGTAAAACTTACTTCAATGTGGTTATTTCTGTTGTAATGTAGGTTGAGAACCCTGTACAGCTCGGAGTCTCCAGCAACGTGGATGTCATCAGCCGTCTTCAGACCTTCGCTTATGGCCTGACGTGCGTACTTCTCCATTTGAATGTAGTAAAACTCTCTGTAAAATACACAATCTGTTAGAATAATGTTCGAAAACATGTGAAAATCAGAGGAAGAAACAAGGAAATAATACGTATGTATTTATATGCCTATAGGGCTTCAACGTGCGACTCTCATCCATGATGTCGTAGGTTCGATCCCCGGCTGTGCATCAATAGACGTTACTAAGTGCGCATAAAATGCGCACGAACAGTGAAGGATACCGAGGCAACCGGCTTGCCTTAGACCCTACACGACGGCATGTGTCAGACACAGGCTGATCACCTACTTGCCTATTAGACAATGATCATAAAACAGATACAGAAGTCTGAGGCCCAAACCGAAAAAGATTGTAGCGCCACTGATTTATTTTATACATATGCCTAGTTATAAACTAACGCAGCTGATTAGCTTTTATGAAGCAAAAGGCAGGATTGCCAATTGGTATGATGCGTGGATAACTTCACCTGCAGTGTGACACTTCACAGCACAATGAGAATATAAAAAGTACTCGAAAGCCGTCGGAGGGCTGAGAGGATTTGATTAGTCATTTTCGCTCAGTCCGCTTGTCGCGTATCATCGCTATCTTGGTCCGCTTCGCTTACGAGAGCGAATCGAGTGTCTCGCAGGGCTAATTACTTACGAGTTCGCATTCAAACGGGCTAATTCAGTTTTTCTCGTCTCGTCGAACGACGGGAGGCTTATAGCTATAAAGCCTCTGTCAGATTTGATTAACCGGAAAATTTGAATAGCGAATGCCAATAATTGGCAACATTTTGAGGTACGCACTCGGTTAGGTTGTTCTTTTTTTTAAAATGTTTGCGTCACAATTAAAAAAATAACACGGCCTTAAAAATATGTCGCGAACTCGCGAGAACCACGTGAAACTTCAAATCACTCAATAAATAGTCAACAGCTATCAATCGAAGCGGATCATCCCTAAGCCACTTGCGCGAGGGAGAGTGCTCGAACTTCTCGCTCGCACGCTGGGGTTTCTATTATTTTTTAATTGGCACTCCGCGAGATATTGCCAGCCTTACTAATTGAGTAAGTAAATGAAGTGTCTTAATAATTAGATGTCTTTTTAACTGGCGGGAGGTGACATGATGTTTAGGTATTCAAGCATTGAATGCTTTAATTAGAGGGACAAATTATAAAATGATTCATTCTTCACTGGTTCACAAATAAAGATTGTGTATGGAGTAACTTGAGTGGCTTCACGTGTTTAAATAATAATTTGTTTGGCTTTTAATTATGTGATAGATAAGTCTTTAACACGTGTGACCATTAAGTGGCTGTCTGGAGTAATGATTACTCATGATCTTAATAGTAAAAGAATTGAAAACATATTTTGAAGTGAAACTTCTTGGGGCGCATGAGGGTAAAATTTTTACGGAACGTCACGAAGATGTGCAGCGTTTTTGTCGAAGAAAAGGGAGAGAGCGATTGAGAGATAGTGAGAACGGTGAATTACCTTATAGAAATTCTATTGCAAAATAAAAAAAATCGTAAAAAAGACTATTTATGAAATATTAGTACCTATTTTATGCAAAATAATTTATTGAAATCTCAAATAACGTAAATTAAAATTCGTCATGTTTTTATTATTGAAGAAATAAATTAAAAAAAATATATATATTATTGGATGAAATTCCTAAGATATCTTCCTTTTTCCCTCACTCTAAGTCTCGGAAATTTATAGATTTGTATAAATATGAACAAGAGTTAAAATTTAGTTTGCCAAAGAAGTTGTAACGAGATTGTCAGAAGGTGAAAGTTCGTTACCGGCCTTTTAAGAATTGGTACGCTCTTTTCTTGAAGGACCGAAGTCGAATTGGTTCGGAAATACTAGCCGGCGTAGTGGTAGTACGCAAAAACCGCCTTAAGAAACCTCAGCCCTGCGATTCTGTAATTTGAAACGCTCAGTTGTGGAACGACGGGCCCCCCCAAAACGGGGGGAGCAGGAAATTTATGATTTGGCATTTTGAAAAAAGTGTGAGCTTGTAGTTTATTGTTAATCAACGTCGAGGTATTGGTGAAAACATACAAACATATGAGAATAATAAATACATATGTTTCTTATGTAGGATAATTTTCATTCTATTGCTTACACGTAGCGGCTTCGTAGCACAATTTATTATTCAATCTAAGACAATTTTTATAAAATATTGCGGAAATTATATAGTTAACCTATGGACTTTGCACTTACGAATATCGGAGTATGGATTTAAAACCGTTACTCTATCAGCTGTTTCATTGTTAATAAATCTTAAAAATTTCTGTACAATTATATATTTTATTGTGCTTATTTTAAAGGCTAAAACTGTTTATATCTTTAACACAATGGTTCTTTTACAGTGATTGCGCAATTTAGTGCTCAATTTCTATGAAGTTAAGGTCGATATTTAGACAGAGATAAATGTTTTCTCAAGACATCTTTCGTTTACCTGGACGCAGTCTTGAATGTCATTGTTTGCGAGCAGTTGGTATTTTTTGCGGAGTTTCTTAGGCGAAGTTTTTTCAAAGTTCCACTGGAATCGGAACTGACGAAGAAATTCTTTGGAAGATTTTATTGTTTATAAGAATGAAGTTCAAATTAAAATTGTATGCAGAGTTACCTTCATTGTTCATTGAGGCTTTCATTAGATGCTGCAATGGGTTACTTAGGGTTAAGTTCCGGAAGTTAAAAGCGTACCGGATGTCAATAATATTGTAGACTTTTGATGTTCAAGCACTCAATGCATGAAATGTGATTTTAGTTATATTACATAATTAATAATAATTTTAATAGGAAAAGCCTTGCGATTCTGTAACTCACTTTTCGAACTCACACACATAAACTATAAACTACAAGCTCCCTCCTTATCAGAATGCCAAATCGTAAAATAACTGCTGCTTCACGACTGATTTGAGCGCGACCGCCGCTGCGAAAACCGCTGTGTGAGTTCGAAAAGTGAGTTACAGAATCGCAAGGCTGGTTGGCAATCAAAATCACGTAAAAATGCGATTCAACCAAAACGTATGTTCCCAAAACTTGTGTGCTTTTCATGTATTAATTATTATAGTAAATACACAATCCCTAACAAATTCTTTCTGCATTCGTAAGATTGTGAAACGAAACGAGATTTACAAACAGTAATTTTGCTTATACCTAAATGGTTTGCAAGTATACCACAAAGGGTGTTAAAAAAACGATCTATTGTTGAGAGAATCTCGACACTTTCTTAGGGTCCCCTCAAGAAGTACTTCGATTCCCGTGTGAACCGCTAAGCTTTCGTAGAGTTAATTCTCGTAGACACCCTTTAAATAATAGTAGGTAAAATAACGTGTTTTTGTAAGTGAAGATATTTCTTATGTATAAGTTAAAACGTATAAAAGTCTATACGGCTTGCCTAATTAATATAATTCTTAAATATTTAATAACAAATAATGTCAGCTGTAATAAAAACCTAATACACATAAATTAAATCCAAGTTTTTTTTTTAAATGACGTTTAAAAAGCTAAGAATTTCTTAATATAGGTAAACTATAAACAATATACAGTGCCACAGGGACCAATCTTCTTAAATTTGTCTAAATTTTCTTTTTAATTATTTTTATTATTAGGTACTTTGTAGGTTAAGACAATTGAAAATACAAATTATTCGTATGTATCATGATAAATAAAAATATACTATAGAAACTATAAACTAAGAATATCAAGAAGCCTGTGAAGTGCCTAAGCTTCTGGAAGGAGCTAGGTTGGCCTAATTAGCCAGGACTTGCACAACGGACCAAATGGGCGTCTAAGTAGCAAGCAAGACAAAATAATACATGCAAGACGTAATAATAATAAAAAGTTGGATCGCCAGTCTGTTTATAACAACTCTACATCGTAAGTAGTCGTTAAGAAATCTCTTCGAGGGGTCAGATTATTGTTTAATATTTTCTTCCCTTTTTTGACTCGTTTGGCGAGAATTAGTCTTTATAAGCTTTAGATTCTTCGCCATAAGATTTGAGATATTTGAATAAAAAGTTTCTAGTTCTTTATAGTGAATAAAATGGTTTTAAGCACTGGCGAAATTTGAAATACTTAACTTTACCTATGTCTTTCAAATATTTGGTTGAGTTAAAGATAATTATGTATTAATTGTATAGAAATCGTTGTGATCCATTGTGACAGGTCGACAGATGCGCATACGCAGCCCCTATCTGTCAACAATGCTGCATTAATCCTAGCCATTTCGTTAGATAGAAATTAGCAATTATTTACCATATGTATTTAGGGAGTCCGATATAACGACAAATATGTGAGATATTTTAAGATTCTCACATCGAATAAAATCTTATGGCTTTAGACTCCAAATGTTGTCTTTTTCGTCTAACAAATGGAATTTTCCATTAGAGCAATAAAGACAACAAGCACAGACTATAAATTTAGATATTTTTGTTTAATTCACTCAAAGTAATGTTTGTAAACAAGTTAATAAAGCAATTATTGAATATGGGTTAAAGTGTCATATTGACATACCGATGTCTGCCTTAACATATACACAGTTAACCGTTTCGAGATGCGGGCTAACCGCTAACCGATAACGAACTTCTACGCCAACATCTTCGTGACAGGCCATCATTATTGTGACACAGATAATCCATAATTTAAATAAAGAATAAAATAAAAGTGCACTTGAACTTTTGAAGCAACGCTCCCCGAATTCTGCGAAAATGGGTCCACAAAAATTAAGCCTCAAGTACGCTTCTTAATTTTTCTATAGGAATAAACAAACCGCCTTTTTGTGCTCTTTCATTTTCACGGCCTAATTATAATAGAACTGTAGTCATCAAACAATTACACCTAAACATTGGCGGAGCGCGCACAAAACACTCATTTATAAAACTCAAATATGCACCACCTGAATCACTTCATAGAAATATTTTGATATAAAACCAACAAATCAGTATTGAAAAGGAGCTAACGCACACAATCGAGCGTTATATAAAACAAAAAAGAGTGCTTATAAACGCGTAACTTTGCCCTGTAAAAAATAGTTTTCAGACATTTCCTACTGACTTCAAATATACTCATTTCGATCGTTGCCAAATACAATGGTTATTAAAACCTGATGCAGGCACGGCTCACTGAAATGATAGGGGAGGTATTACAGGTTGTGTATGTGTGTGCGGCGTATGTGTGCGTTAGTGGACCGCGTCCAGCTTTCGTATAACACGCCGGAATGAGCCGATGTTGCTAGAGTATTCAATTGATAGAGACGCATTTTGTACGTTTTATTCTGACGAAATAAATATACTGTAAACAAAAAGGATAAAATGACTACTTCAATCAATAAGTCAAAACAAGAGAGAGAGCGTTAAAATAGTTCTGATTAACTAGACAGGTAGCAGTTTGATGAATTTAACGGATACAAAAAACAGGACACTATTGATCTCAGTTACAGCGTTAAAAGTTGTATACGAAAAGTTGGCTAAAAATTGTTTAAAAAAAAAACGACTGCTCTACATTCTTGTTCTCTGTGTAAAAGTCGCACGGCGGTGAGCACACATACGCGGCGGCGCACACAGCCACGGCTAAAAGCGAGTAAACTAATACCGGGCCGGATTAATGCTTCAGTTAGTGAAAAAACTTTTTTTCAGCCTCCGCCGTCCGACTCAGGGCCGCACTCGCTACTTCCGGTTTTGATGATTGTCCAACAAATAAGGTTGAGATGCAAGGGATTATATTTAAATATTAATGAAGTGAAGTGAAGAACACTCCCTAACAGATTTGACAATCGGCACTTAACACGTATTTAAACCGGCGCGTTACGATGCGGGTTGTAGACGGTTATCTACCCATACGCTTTGCGACTTTCTCGCGAATTATTCTCTTATCTTGAAACGGGAAATGCGAATTTTACGTTTTAGTTACGAGCTCTTTTCCAAAAACAACAATGAAACATGATAGCAATTTGCCAGTTCTTGTCTTCCGTTCTACGATTTGAGAACTGGCAGTAAATCTAAAATTAGAAGCATTTCTTTTTTGACGTTCGTAAGTGTACATTGTGTTACCTATATGAATAAATGATTTTGACTTTGACTTTGTCTTTGAATTGAAGCTAAAATAACTTTTCACGATCACAATGATGAATCGGAATCCGGTCCTGTGTAATGACTCCCTCCTCACTGACCTGCCTCTGTCTTGTACCCCACGCTTCAAAAGTTCAGCTCATTTGAGTGCTTGCGGAGATTTTATTACCCCAACTATACTCGCTTCGGTATTAAAATTTCGAAAAAAAAGGGGGTTGAACAGACGCGAGGCCGTTTAAGTGCGCGCATAAAGCTGACCGTTCACGGTTGCTTGATTTCAGGATTAGTTCGCTAATTACTGTTTTGAGACAGTTTCAAAAACCAGTTCTGACAGTTCTTTATTTTTAGCTTCCTCGAGTGTCCACAGTAAAAAGTATACAACGATGCGAACCTTTGAGCCGTCCGTTATGAAATTACACTAATGCTGAATTTTATATGTCGAGTGCTTGATAGTATAAAAAATTAGGCGCTATTCTAAACAAAAGACAGTTTGTATTTTACCTTTTTCAATTTAACGAGCTCTGCACAAGTATGATTAAATTCAGGATAAATTATCAAATTAGAATCAAAACTATTATAAAGTGATAGTATTTTAATTTAGTGTTTTCAAAAACCTTTCAATTCAAATCCAAATAGAAACAGCGAACTCCATTACGTTTATAACAGATTAGTGATCAGACATTTTCATAAAATCAAGCATCAAATTATCAGAATGTTTTGCAATTTTTTTTAATAAAAGCTATTCACACGAGTTACATTCACACGAGTTACATTCACGAATCTGTCATCGCATCTCGTATTTATTTTATCTGAACAAATATGTAATCAGAACCGCGAATATGTTTAATATGGCGGCCGTTGATCACGTGTCTAACAATAATTACTTTAGTGTTGCCAGTCGTCATTACGTCAAACCGCCTGCTTGCTCACATTTTCACTATACTCAAGTTATTTCCCCCGGGCCTTTTGTCATTGCTATTTATTACTAAGATTTCCTACGACACGTATATTTTTTACTTATAAGTTTGATGGCTTTACAGATAAAATCAATATGTTTCATTAAAATAATACATGAGTGAGTTTAACGTTTCGTACAAGAACTTGCGCTGTACTTTATAGTTACTAGACTTAGAGTTTATTGCCAGTTCTACACTTCTGTTCTACGCCCTTGATTTGAGAACTGGCAATAAATGTAAAATTAGAAGCATTTCATATATATTTATTTTTGGACGTTCATAAGTGTACATTGCGTTACCTATATGAATAAATGATTTTTGACTTTGACTTTGTTTCATTAAAATATTACGTGACTGAGTTTTTCACGTTTCGTTTAAGAAGTTGCGCTGTACTTTAGAGTTTTTGAATTTCGTTTTAAATCGCAAATATATACGACTACCACTTCACATA